AGGATGGCGAGGCTCGATGAATCCTGAATTTTGGAGGGCCTGAATGGCTGATGGCTGAATGGCTGAATGGCTGATGGCTGAATGGCTGTCTGGCTGTTGGGATGGGAAGGCTCTTGGAGAACCCTGACACTAGCTGGTGGTAAATTACAGTGAGTCTAGTATATTTACCACGCGACAATTCCCAAAGATACACCGCCTTCTGGAGATTGTCCTGTGTGGTGGCTCTACCTAGTGAGCGATTTTCAAACATATTGAGTAAAAGGGGTAGAGCCATGTAATTTATTGCTGATAATAAGCATCACCGTAGAGAACAACTTTATGACGACCTGTTGATTCTACATCAATAGTGTGTACAATCCACACCCAACTAAGGATCAGTCTAGATAATGTATAAGTAGCATTGATTTATCACTAGCATGTTATAAAAGTGATTTCAGGACGTTGTAAGTCTAGACTGTGTGCATCTGCATCTAATTACATTCTATAGTGACGTCTATAAATTTTTGTTGCCCAGCAGAACTGGCTCGTACGGTGTAGCGATATATCACAGCATACATCACATTTTTAACAAACTGACTTAGTCACTACCTATGTACTTTGGTTGGTGTTGTTCTTTGTCGTAACCTTAGTTCTTGTGTATACCACACATACTGTGCCGGAGAACGTGTGAAGCACATGGCACTACCCACAGGCACTTGGAGTGTTTCAATAAAATATAATGCTAAATAAATACGAAATCTATTTACTACCAAAGTCTTAATGTTTCTCTACTCTTTTTCACCTATTATTGCCGACAATTTCCTGTAAATACCGTCCAAATGCTCATCTGCAACACACGCTGGCCGCTACACGCTAGCTGCTGCACATTGACGCATAAATAATATAGTACGCATAAACGTATTAGTATATATATAAACTACATATTTATGTGTCAGTGTGCAGCAGCTAGCGTGCGGCTGCCAGCGTGTTGCAGATGAGCATTTGGACGACATTGACAGGAAATTGTCGCCAATAATAGGTGAAAGAGAGTAGAGAAACATTAAGACTTTGGTAGTAAATATATTTCGTATTTATTTAGCATTACATTTTATTGAAACACTTCAACTTCAAGCGCCTGTTGCACTACCCACAACTCAGAAGTGCAAAGGCAAGATATGTGCAAGCGCATCATTATCCACATTTATATATATACGTACACAGAGAACATAATATGGTGCATACGCACTCGGGTAGTCTCGGCCAGCGTTCGTGAATTTAAATGAGAAACATGCAGAGCCATGTCACATCCGAATAAATTTGAGTCCACAAGTGCTGAAGTAGATGTTATTCTCCTAACGATGGGACAAGCCACAAGCGTAAGAACATCGATATAATGATAACAAGGTCATTATTCCTAATACTTCCATCTCGGGATTAGCTTAACCCATTAATATGTTTGTATATATGTGGATGTTCTCTTTGAGCTTTTATCTCGGGAATGCAAAAAAGGGCGTACTACAGAATTGTCACACGTTATCGCAACGACATGATAATTATCGAGCCAACATGCTGCGCTATCGTGGTCTATAAGATACATACACTGATTGAGCCAATGTTAACACAACATAGTCCGAAAGGACATAATCCCGGATGCCCTGTATATACTTCATTTATATCCGTGTTCAAATAAACTCTCATCTAGCATATAGCATAGGATATAGGACTAGGAGCAAGACATATATATGTGCACACAGTGAAATATCTCTGCTGACTACTGTTCTGATGTTCCTAAGCTACTTGATCACACCATTTAACATGCTGCTTTATTTTTTTAGGCCAATAGTTTTTCTGTCTGAGCCCGGCAACATCAAAGAGAAAATAATGCCTCCCATGAAAAGTAAAGAAATGCATTCCGTGAACAAACAACAAACAAAAATTACTGAAAAATGTTTTCAATTTAAACCACCACCTTGAGATGGTTTGAAACTTTCAGCTAGCTTATCTTTTGCAGTGTACATTACCTTTTTTTCCAAGTTGCTTTATAATAATTCCAATGACAATGCCTTAAGCGATGATAGCTACGAATTGCTTGGCGAATGGTATTATACTGAATTGCAAATGCATGACATATAGTGCAGTGACAACAATAACGCATTAGCAACCATGCGACCATGTTTGGATGTTATTATCAACCAGAGTCGAGGCTTTGCCAGGTAAACTAATACTAAATTATAAATTTACTGATAAATGCTGAATTGGTTTAAGAAGTGTAGGGTGAATTAGCTAAATAACGCATACTCTTTTTCTCTCTCCCATTTCTACCACTCACTCAAACCCCAGCCCAATTTAGTCTTTGTTCTTGCATCATGCAATATGGTACCAAATTAGATTAAATGAATGCTTTCAATTCAGCATATCCTGCAATTCTTCATCAGCTACATTTGGGATAGGCAAATCTTACCTATCCACGACTTTGAATGCTCGCAGAATGTTTGCCTTTTTTTCACGTAAGGTCTTTTTGAATCATCTATATAGGAACTCTGATGACTAAGAAATTGACCCTAATCTGGCGATATTGCACCTTTGAGATAAAGCTCAAGCATGACCTTAAAACTTTGATTGAGTGCAAATACGCCTAGCTTTATTACTATTATATAGGCTTGGCGATGAATTATAATAGAACAGGGAATGTAGTAACCATGCATGACTATAACAAATTGGCAGGATATTTAAATTAATATCATGGGATGTGAGTACTTTCAAACAAACGCATCACATGTTTTAAGATAACCAACTAAACATGGAGTGGCAACTTTATTAATCAATTTCAGTGATTGATTGATTATTTGAACAAGCAGCAAAATAAATCTGTGGGGTTAGGCTATTTAAACATTACCATCATTAAGCATCATAAAAAAAATGTCATTAAGAAAAAAAAGCTGTCAAGTAGAACTTTTTATGTGTAACGAATGAATGATGAGATGGGATCGGTGACTTGTGAGAATGTAGGCACTAGGATATATGTCATAAATCTCCATGTGTTAGAATAGTTTTACAACTGCACCGGGTAAAGTTTTTCTACCACATCCTGAAAACTAGTAACTTTGCTAGCAAAGACTCTTACGGAAAGCAAGGCAACACAGTTACCGAAGCCCTCATGAGTTCCTCCGAGAGGAGCCAGAATGGACAAGAAAAGACTAAATAAAAAATAAAGTTGAACCACTGCCCCATCATCTCACCCTTAACTGATCATTTGACATATATACCTGGACAATTCCACATTTGCTGGGTTTTCCTGATTATACATAACAATACATTTTCTATAATTGCAGAACAGTGGTGCCATCTCCAGGCATGGATCTTTACTAGCATATAGCACAATTAGTATGAGGATGATTATGATAGCGAAATCAACGCGAATCCAGAGTCAAACACTCCCTGATTTACTGTCGGACTCCCTGATTTGACATTCTGCTCTACTAACGCTGAGAGGGTCTATGTCCCCCGGGGTACTGCCGGAACGTACCCTGGGTACAATCCGGTATAACGGAACGTACCCTGGGTACGGTCCGGTATAACGGAACGTACCCTGGTACTATCTAATATGCCGGACCGTACCTCACCTACTCCACTACTGAGTCTAGGGAGTCGCCTACTCCCTAACCCTAACTCTAACCCTAACCCTAACCATATCAAATAGTGACAAGGGTACGTTCCAGTATATCGGACCGTACCCAGGGTACGTTCCGGCAGTACCCTGGGGGACATAGATCCTATGAGCGCTACTAACTAGTTCGTTCCAGAGCACGGCCTCATGGAATTGCCTTATTTTTCCAGCAAATGTCCAAAGAAAATATGGCAGATGTGCAACCGCATGAATCTTCAAAATACGCACATGCTTATTGCTAATAGCACTGCATTATTCTTAATATCTTTAGTTTTGAACTTCAGACTGCGGACTCAACCATTTTGCTGCAGACTCCCTCTTTTTGAGGGTAGGGATCGAGTCTGTTGGACTCCCTTACCACTGAACTCCCTTGTTCAAAAGTTAATTTCTACCCCTGCAATATGCATTTGCTAAGAACACCAACTGGTTTTAAAATAGCATTTGTGCACATAGATTCATTCCTGTCATCTTGCTAACATATATATTATTGTACAGCAGTTTTACATGTTATTGTGAGGAAATAGCACAATGTATATGAGTCTATTTCTGATGTCTTTCTTTCTCTATATGTATCTGTTTGTCACAATTTTAGATATACATCCTTGTGAATGATTGAGCATTGTTTTAATTTGGATTCATTATGCGAGGCTATATAGACAGTGGGGGGGGGGCACGGGGGTAGTGGTCAAACAATACCAAAGTAGATACTATTACATACATAAGTAGATACTCAGTAGTGAGCTGCCCACGCTCAGCTACCAAGAACACAACTTCACATAGCTTTGCTCCACAGGCAAAGTGAACCAGCTACACTTCTGTTTTGGTACATTCACATGATTTGACTGTTGTGACCATTGTTTTGACTATGTCATTTATGAGTGGACCTAAATTTGTGACTTATTGAATCAATCAAAAATAAAGAAAGCAAGCAATCACAATAAAGCCAGGTATGTTAAATCTTACTATTTTACATTGTCTACGCAAAAATCATCATGATTGTCGTTTTTGTTTGGTTTAGTTTTGTTGCGACCTTGTAGTTGTACGTTACTGAATACTGTACACACTGTATTCAATTGTTATACAATTTTTGTGGGGTTGGATAATAAAGTTTGAGGCTATAAGGGGCTATGATATTCGGTGAGAATCTACGAAACTAGTGGTTGTCAATAGCAGCTCAAAAAACATTGAGGCCTTGAATGCACATTGTGTCAGTGCAAAAAAAAAAAAAAATCGTGGCACCGAAACAAAACCATGCCGGAGATGATACATGCTCAGGATGCTGACATTCCTGTTTTAATAATATACTACACTTGCACAGAACAACGACCGTTAGTAATATGTAAAACATGCTTACCACAGTCTGTTCATAGCCAAATCGTTTCTCACTGTTACGGGATGCCATGTTGACTGTTGTTTGTGTTGCGTGAGCAGTTATCACTACGATATCTGCTGGTATGTACACTACACGCCGTCGACGGTCCAACCACTGCCACTGACAGTCTCACACTGACAGACGTCAAATCGTTCGCGCCGCCCTCACCGTTCGGGAAAGCATTAGACTAGTACTCGCTCCCACCTTTCGGCTTAGTTACTTGATGCATAGGCCATCGAGTAATCGAGGTGGGAGCGAGAACCAGTCTAGTAAAGCATGAGCGTTCCGCGCAATGGGCGCCATTGTTGAGTAAAACACGCCACGCTGCATGCTGGACGCTGGCAGCAGTCGCAGTTATATTCATTACGTTATATTTTGTGAGAAAATATTTAATTGCCTCTTACTGCGGCTACCTCGTACTAAATTTATTCTGTTATTTAATTTACATTACACTTATGTTATATAATCACATTCCAAGATATGGTTAACATTTTTAATAGAGGGCAGCACCTGGTAGTGTTCATCCAAGAGGTACCGTGTTTTACTTGATATTTGTTGATATTCAAGGTGAATCCATCATTCTTAGGAGTAGGGATGCATTTGTATTTTTATGTTATAGGTAGTTTGGTGTGAAGTTCAACGGCATACGTTTTTGGTCGTTGTTGTAAATTGTTATTATGGTGTGATGATTGTTAGACTGACATATTTTGGAAGGTCGCATTGAATTTGTCTCGGTTCGGCTTAACCCAACCAGGCAGTGTGACTAACGTCAATACACCCTAGGGTATTCTAACCCTAGCAATACCGTTTCCTGGAGCATAGCCGTTACGCTCTAGCGCCTAGTACTATCACGCCCAGCGCGATCGCTAGCCGCAGGCTATAGCACATGCTGCCATAGATGCTAATCTAAGCAAATGGAATCCAACTGATGCTCGACCAAAAATTGACGCACTGTGGCTATATCCGCACGGAGCCCACGAGCACAGGTCTTCCGACTTTTCCTAAATGCCCGGCAAGCTTAACCCTAACTCAACCCCAACCCTAAACCTAACAAAACCCTAACTCTAGCCTAAACCTAACCCTAACCCTAATCCTAACTCAACACCCCTACACCCTTGTTTACTTGAGAAGAAACGCTAAAAATTAAAAAACTGCGGCGCTTTAGCGAAATCAAGACCGTGCCGCGAGCCGTCACATATACCGCCGGCTGCCGAGCCGCAATAGCCAGCTGATGAAAAATTGATCCCCCAAAACGTAAACACATCGATCGGGCTTTTTACACATCAATCTACTCAACCTATGACATTCACCTATCCTTTTTGAAACACTTCCACAACTTTCTACACTAGGTATTTATGCTGTTATTCCTCAAGTCTTAGCACTGAAGAGATCACGTGTGCAGCACAATTAAGCAGGAGCACACCCGCATTTGAAAACAAAAGAAACAGTAGCGCCTATTGGACTTTGACGGAAAAAAACAGGGGGCAAAATTTAAAAAAAAAAAACAAATTTTAAACCCCCTGGTTTGTGTAAAGTTGTGGAGTGCTTCAAAACAGATAGTGAGATTCCATGTTGATAGATAAAGTGTTAAACACAAGCCGATCATTTTACGTTTTGAGGGCATACAATTTGTTGTCACATCAGTTGGACCAATTTGCTTCAATAACATCTACGGCCAGAACTGTGCTATAGCCCTGCGGCAGCGATCCGCGATATAGTACTAGAGCTAGGTTCGGCTAGTAAAGTAAACCAAAGCCTGGCCCAGCCTGGCGCACACGTCGAAGAAGCCGAACGCAAACTGTACGTTAAGGCCCGTCTCCACACACGCGGCGCGGCACGGAACGCCACGGAAACAGCGCCGTTCACCCCTACCGCCAAAGTTCAAATCTATTATATCATGGCGCAGTCTCCACTTCCAACTCGCAGCTACGCTAGGGCCTGCATACCTCCCAAATCCCATTGATTGATAAAAACCACGTGCCTCAACTGCCTCAATGACGTCACAGTGTTGTCATATTCATGGCACATCCATAATCCATAAACCCAATAAGCCTGAATAGCTGAACGCGTACAGTGCGAGCATCACGGCTGAAAGGTCTTTGGATCGAATCCCATCTGTTTTTTAATTATTTTCTTGTTTTCTGTATTTTTCTATCTTTTTCCATTTAACTATTTTTTCCAAATTAATGCAAATATTTACATGATTTTTTACAATTAAATTTCTTTTTAATTACATATTAATTAGGGTTAGGGTTAGGGTCACAATGCACCATAAAACGAGTTTCAGGCACGTGATTTGTATCAACCAATGGGATTTGGGAGGTATATGCAGACCCTAGCTGCGAGTCCACTGACACGGCACGGCGCCAGTCCGGTATCACGTCGACGGCGAAAGTCAAATGAGTTTGACTTTTGCCGGCTGCCCTTTACGGAGAAAGACAGTTGAACCAATCAACGCGATTGTTTTTTATCACGTGTTCTGCTCACGCTACCATCAGCCAATGGACAACAAGCACATGCATAATTTCTGATAATTGAACCATAGTGAACACAATGCACTCGGATACAATGCGCTAAATCACAATGCATTTTTTTTCAGCACAACGGCGCTGCGTTTTGCTGTGCCGTGTCGTACTGCGTGTGTGGAGACATAGCTTTACGGTTTTTCCAGTAATGTTTTTTCCGGTCCCATCCGGCGGGTGCGGTCTCATTCTCCTGCGGTTTTTATCCTGCGATTTTTTCCGCAAGTGACCGGAGCATATCAAGCAGGTTTGATATCTCCCGGTAAAAACTGCACGGATATAATCGGACCGCAGCGTGTGCGGTGGTCAGCGGGAAAAACCAGTTACACGGGCCAATCAGCATCGAGCAAAAATCACATGATCGACAAAATGGCAGCGTCCATAGAAGTCGTGCAGTTTTATAGTACAAAAACGAACTCTGTCTATGCATTCCGCTGTTTATTGGTTTAGGATGCCCAAAATTGGCAAAATGTTAGTTAATCGCCCTTAGGGTGCCCTAAGCACATTTAATAGGTTACACTAAAAACTAATATTTAAAAGCAAGTAAAATGTTCAAAGTACAAACGCTTTGAAATGGCTGTTGTTATCTTAGTGCGCAATACATGTTGGGAAGACTCGCACCGCATTTGTCTCAAATTTAATCGGTAGCCAGCGCACACAGTGTTGCATGTGCGGGTTACACCGATTATTTCCTGCGAGAAAACCCGGCGATAAAAACCGTAACATAGCGTGTGTGTGCGCCTGGCTTAATAAACACTAAACCAGACATACATATATACACGTACGGTTTTGCATTCCCACAGCATGACTATAGCAGGGTGCAAAATTAACGGGAGTCCGGAGTCAAATACTCCCTGATTTACTGTCGGACTCCTTGATTTGACCTACGCAGGAGTTCGTGTAACTCCCTGAAAATTCTGTCATACTAACTAGTTTGTTCTGGAGCACGGCCTCGTGGAATTACCGTATTTTTTCAGCAAATGTTCAAAGAAAATTTGGCAGATGTGCAACCGCATGAATCTTAAAAATAAGCACATGCGTTATTGTTAATATCTTTAATTTTGAACCTCAGACTGCGGAATCCCTCATTTTGCTGCGTTTTGAGGGTAGGGAGACTGTTGGACTCCCGTGTTCAAAAGTTGATTTCTACCCCTGCTATAGTATAATAGATAGTACACAGTAAGCCTGATAACTAACCTAAATTCTTGTGAACACATGTACCCGTTAGCCATTACTCAGGCTCAATGATGGAAAAGTAAATACAGTCACTGGTGCTCAACTAAGGCTATAAGTCTACAGTAACTGTGTGTGTGAGTCTTGAGTAAGACCAATGTAAAGCCAGAGCAAAGGCTAAAGCACACCAAAACACTTGCCTACTTCGATATAGATATGTGAAAGAAATATGATATCTTCAGTGGTAAATGCTCCTGTAATTTCTGGCAGCATACTTATTAGAATTGAGACATAGTATTAGTAAAATATTGTTATTGTATTAATATATTAGTTAAGCAATCTGAAGATAAGAAGAAGGAAGTACTATAGGGCTAACTAACTTGATAGTTATACACCGGTCCCATCCACACTGTATAAGTGTAAGTACTTTGTAAACTAAGTCTAAACATTTACTGCCACGAAATTCCTAATAAATCATAGTAAAAGTACGAAAGATTCTACCTGCCTGGCAAAAAAGTTTATTTCTTAACCGGGGAGTATAATTTTCTATGTTTCTATTTTGCAGAAAGCATGTTATCAACATCGTTGCCGCACCTGCGCCGGTTTGTATGGACACTGGGTAGGCGAAACCTCGGTCTCACAGCCGTAGCTGCACAGACTACTGCCAAGCTTGATCCGATTCAGAAATTATTTGTCGACAAAATCCGAGAATATGATACAAAAAGCAAGTAAGTATATCAGATTATCAGTATCATAGAAGTTACTCTTTCAGTTAATGCACCTGCATCATGGTCTTATCTTATATATATACCGCAGTCGTGGATTTCCCAATTTTAAATCATAAGGGTTTCTCACGTTTACACTGTCATTCTGTACAGCTACTCTCGAGCCCATCATGAAATCTCAGGATTTCTGATAAGATTATGATAGTTGTATAATTTATGTTAATGCAGGGCTGCAGGAGGGAAGCTAGTTGACCCTTCACCGGAAATTGAGAAGGAAATGCGTGATGATCAGGAAAAAATTAAGAGGCAGTACTCTGATGGCAAAGACGTTAATCTAGCTGAATTCCCCAGCTTTCAGTTCACAGGTATACTGATATAGTAGCGTTAGGGAGTGTGTCATTATCAGTAGTAGCTAATCTAATAAAAATAAAACCTATACATGTTTGCTTATTACAAATGTTCATATTTATTATAAATTAGCATGAAAATATCAATTGAATTCTTTATCTGTTCTTGAAACTACATAAATGGCAGATATAGTGTAAGATACAATGCAATGCATTTTAGTTTGTGTTGCATTAAAGATATTATTGATCTTTTGATATATTCTTCGCAGATTGCTGGATGAAATGTAATATTTTTTATATGTGAGGTAAAATTCATATTGTTTTCGTAGTTGAGTTTCATAATTAAGTTTATATTTCATGATTTCTTTCCAGAACCAAGTTTGGATCCAATTAACATGGATGCGAAGAAGTGAGACAATTACACATCCAATCTAGAATAGTTATAACTGAGTCACAAATATGAGCTGTAGGAGCATAATAAGCATTATTTCATAAAAACCTGTGAAGAATATCAATTAATCGGGTTAATCCCTGCTAAGAATCTGAATTGTAATGAGGTCGATACGTGACTATACGGTGGAAGGTGGTTCACCAAGGCCGTTGCTTCGGTGAACCAATCCTTGACCAGGTCCGTATAGTCACGTGTCGACCTCATCACAGGTCGATAACCGTTTTATTATATGGTTAATAAAGAAATCAAAAACAAATTGAATGTGTTAGTCAATAATTTAATTATACATTTAATAAATAAACAATAATACATAAATAAACAATTTAACTAAATAAATAACATACAAATAAATTAATAATATATTTTATCTTGCTTCTTCTAATTATTTATTTATTACTATTTTATATTTATTATATTATTATTATTTTATAATTAGCTATCTGATTGAGCTGCTAATATGTCGATATAGAAGCGGTAAAGCTCGATTGGCCGCGCCTCTGCACACACCCACTTTCT